TTAGGCTTTGATTTATTTTTATCTTTTGAAGTTGGTTTATGTTAAATAAAGTAAATAGTAAAGTTACAGCCTATATAAGTCCCACCGCTGGACACAAGCCTCCCCTCATTTCTGAGAGGGTTTTAGGGCAAGGAAGTGTCCGCCGCGCTGCCCTAATGCATGTTGGCGAACTTCACATGTCTTCGAAATAATTTTTTTTCTTATTCCTCAGACATGCAGGTTTCCTCACGATGTTTTCCTTCACCGCCGAGCACGTGGTAAAATTGCAATTAACAATTTCATTGGTGCCGGCGGGGATCGAACCCGGGTTACTCGCATTCTGTTATATTTACAGCGAACGTTAATCATCTGAGCTACCACGGCTCATTGTGCTTAATAATATTTTATATTTACAGTGAATACTGCAAATGTACATAATAAAACGAATTTAATTCAGTTATTATCACGTTTATAAAACATAAATAATTAATAAAGTTAAAATTAAACGCGATAAAATACATAAAATTAGTTTTACTACCCTGGTTTTGCAAACTTTTATAAAACACTTTTATTAATCTAATCTCAATTTAAAATCAAAATTATTTTCATCATTATGTAGTTATGAAATTTGGTTTCGCTAAAAGTAACAAAATAAAATAATCAAGTCTTTCATTCAAACTTCGTTAAAAGTAGAATAACATAATGTTCTGATTTAGAATCAAAATAGTTCTAGCATAGGATTTGATTGGAGCCAATTTCAATCAACACTACGAAGCTTGTGATTTTGAGCTGCAAATTTTCCTCCCGAAGATACTGAATGCAAACTGCAGCTTTAATCAAGGCGCTCCGTAATAAAATTCATCATCATACCATCTTTACTATTGATAGATTTTATTTCTGTAAAAGAACATCTAATTTTCTAATGTATTTTTCTTACACTTTACATATTTTACTTAACTAATTTAAAAAAATCATTTTTAATTGAATAAAGGTACAAACGAAAAGGGTGACAAACACAAGGGATTCTATGAAAAGGGTTATCATAATATTAAGAAATCTATAGATGATAATAACCCCTGGGAATGAATGGATCGCTACCAAATTTTTATAATTTGTTTTAAGTTGTTAATTCTTTAAAATTGTAAATTGTTCTTTTTTAAAGGCCTGTTGGGTTTCTTGCTGAACAGAGATATTTTTCCAACCAGCGGTAAATTAAACATATTAAGGGTCACTTCCAATAGATATTATTTATAAGACATCAGGCTCCGTGGAGCAGTGGCTTAGCAATGAGTTACAGTACGAAGAGGTGCGGGTTTGAATCCAGCACAGAACAAGTATTTGTAACGCCTACAAGTAAATTGTTCTGGGTCTGGATTTTTATCCTTGAAAATTTATGTTTGTAAACTGCCTCCACGATACACGAGAATATCCTAGTGTGAAAGTAACGTTTATAAAAGAAATATAAAAGTTTCTATTTTGAACGAGTGTACAGTCCACCTAATGGTAAAGTATGCTGTACACTTAACACCTTTATCTATACTTTATTAAGAATCAAAATGTAGATGCGCTGTCACTCATGAGGACTAAGATATAAATGTCTTGTTACCAGTAAAAGGGGTCTCCAGTTCTCTATAATGACCATACGTTAATTATTGCATTAAGCTGTTATTTTACGTTGGTATTCTGCGAGAGTATGGTATTTCTCCGGTCAAACTGTTGCGTGAGTCTACCACGTTTAACAGGATTTTATCTGTAACACACGGTTTAGCATCAAAAATATAATAAAAAGCTTTATTACACATTACATTTTTATGTGACGGAATCCGTAAATAGGACATCTCAATAGGATTGCGCTAGGTCTATAAAAATCATCTCTATTTTCTCGCAGTATTATATGGGATGACTCAATTCTTTTTTTCAGATTATGATTTTTAACTATTTTAAGCCAGTGTTTCACTGCTATCGTATCTGATAGTTTGTGATGATGCAGCTAAATATGCTAGAGCACACTGACTTAGTTTAACAAAAGCCTATTCTCTCTTACCTTTTTTGTGTTTTTCTTTCTTTAGGGGTGTTTGTTTTTCTTTGTTTTTTTTGGTGTCGCTGGACTGTTTTGAAGATACTCACTTTGTAGCCGATACTGCAAATACAGTAAAAATATTCCAATACTTTGCAACACTTTTCGTCATTCTTTAGCTTTCAAAAGCATCGTGAATAATAAAGCAAACCGTTTAGTTTGTATGCGTGGTATATCAACAAAACGTTTGATTTTTTTTTGTTTGTTACGAGGAGATGGACACCAGCCGAGCGTCCGATGCTTAATTTACTCGACGTGTGAAACGGAGAATAATAAAAGTTCATTTCCTCATCTCCATATTCCCTTCGTCCGTGACTTCTCATTAAAGGAAAATTGCCGTAAAATATTTTGTCGTCTAATGATTTTATATTTTGTTTATAACGCCAACCCTAATATAGCTTTTGTGAGCAGGTTGTAAAATCAGATAGAATATGTGTCTTGGATGATTATAATGTGATAGTATGTATTGATTGGCTTATCTGAAAGTTATCATTTTCGTGTGAAGGTAGGTTACGTTTAGTCATAACATGATGTGTTCAAATCAAGACAATATTCGTAAAATATTTCGTGAAAATAAGAGTAGATGCTACGTTCAGTCATTACATAATGTTATCGAAAAATAGTTAAAATTCTTGATTTTTGAAGTTATTATGTGTAATAGTATTAAAATCGTAATCATCCTTGAATATTTAGAATAATTATTCTAACGCTCCGCCGGCTGCTACCGATGAGTATCTCTTGATGTGTCTAAAGTTATCTGTATATCAAGAAATGTTACGATTCCATTATGTCGAGCCACATTGAAACTGGCCTAATTATAGGATGGGCCGTCGACATGATCAAGCTGGCGGCAGAACCAATGTCATAAGTGCAAAATATTTGAGACTTCTTTTGCCAGTCTTCTTTCCAACTACTTACTCTTATTAATTTTCATTTTTTTTTCGATATATAAAAATGTTTGTAAATGCTTTTGAAGAATTCATCAATTCTTTTACATTAAAAAATAATGAAGCGAGAACTTTATATGTATTTTTATCTTATATTAGGTATTTACCTATGAAATTTGAAACATGAAAAAGGAAATTGGAAAATTGGAAAATGACGTTAACTTATTTAATCTCCCAACCATCTTTTGCATCTTTGCAAAAGATGGTTGGGTGATTACTTTGATCAAAGCAGTGGCAGTTTATTGACGAAGAACTGATCACTGATATTGATTCTTGAACAAATCAGCTGGACGGGAGGCAACAAATACTTCAAAGGTCTCGTGAGTACAGCGGATGAGGAAGAGCTTGTAACCTCAGCTCTTATGACTTGGAGACCGTCTGTTGTGCAGTATGCTGTCGCGCGTTGTCGTGCAGGAGCAGCGGGGACGAGCGATTGACCAAAGTTATCTGGAGACGTGCGAGCTTGTCCATCATTGTGTTCAGTCCTTTACAGTACAGTGCAGTAATGCTCATCCCGTTTGGTAAGAAGCCGTGATGAATCACACCGGTGCTAAACCACCAAACAGTGACCATCATTTTTCATGGGTTAAGTTTTCGCTTAGAACATTGTTTAGGTGCTGAACCAGGATCGTGTCGTCTTGGCACTTCTCTCTCTCTCGCTTTGTTTTTTGGAAGCACGTGCCGGCGGAAATGTTGCCGTTAAAATTTCCTAGGGTGATCAATAGACGACTATTACCATCGACGCCCCCCCCCACCTCCTCCCCAATAGGTCCCCCAAAGCCCGATTCATCATCCAACCAGCGGGAATAGTTGAGGACAAAACACGGCTCCGCTATTGATGCAAGCATCCATTTCACAAAAGTCTCAGCAGATGTCACTTGACTCCTATGCAGAAACCACTTAGTATTTATTTCTTTTCATAAAATTGATATTGAAATGCCTTAAGTTTTTATATTAAAGTTAACAGTATCAAAACCCATCTTTATAATTCCGGTAGACTTAAAAGCATTTGCTTGTACAGTTAGTGATAAAACGATTTGAAACATTTGGGAATATCTGCCAGGAAAGCACTTACAACACAATCAGTAATGAGAACTCCCGTGTCGTTTACCTGTGTTATATAGTGTTAGAAGTGTTATATAATTATTTTCTAGAATTAATTAAATACCTCATTTCATCAGTTTAATTTTTAAAAGAAAACCTAAATTCGTTGAAAGTATTTATTGGCATTCTCCCAGTATTCTGCTCGTCAGCTCAATCTCAAAAACACAAAAATTTTTGCCGTTATCTCCACGCTTGGGTGTTGCATTGATCGCTATATTCGACGCCCGCCCTTTGGTCCTGCCTTGCCTTAATTAGTCTAAGCGTTTAAAAAAAGGAAAGTTACAGCCTTTATACGTCCCACTGCTGATCACAGGCCTCCCCTCATTTCTGAGAGAGTTTTAGGGCAAGGAAGTGTCCGCCGCGCTGCCCCAATGCGTGTTGGCGAACCTCAAATGTCTTCGAAATATTTTTTTTATTCCTCAGAATTGCAGGTTTCCTCAAGATGTTTTCCTTAACCGCCGAGCACGTGGTAAATCAGCACTTAAAATTGCAGTTAACAATTTCATTGGTGCCGACGGGGATCGAAACCGGGTTACTTTCGTTCAGTTATATTTACGAGCGAGCGTTAACCATCTGAACTACCACGTCATATCAGATGATTATATTGCCCTTATACTGGAAATAGTAAAATCTTTACGGCATTGCCTTTTAGGTAAAAAAGTTAAAATTGTCCAAACTTTTAAGTTTTTAAAAGCTTGGACTATTTTATTCTTAGTATTTCATTTTAGTATGTAAAGCGATTCATTAGTTTTGAAATATAAAAATGTTAATTTAATATAAAAAAAACTTTATATTTGTAATTTAAGTATTAAATCAAGTGTTACATAAACTTATGTAGGAACTTAAGATTTCGCAGATGTTAAAACGTTGTTAAAACCAGGCTGCATGTATTCTTAATCGTCTCCTCCTGTCATAACTTCCATAAATTCTGTAAAAAAAATATTCTGATAAAGAATGAATGTTTTTTTCATCATAGGTACTGGAATGAAAGTATTCAAAGTTTTGAGTCGTGTACTGTGACAATACGAACAAATTAAAAGTTTATCTCAAATTTGGTGAGACACTTTAACCTCATATTTTAATTAAAGATTTACTGAAAGTCGAAAACAATTCTTGGAACAAGTGCCACATAACTTTTATGTATAAAAAAATATTTTAATACCTAAAAATAATATAAATCACACGTAAAATTATTTTAAATTGTTTACTTTGGACAGAAGGCATCAATTTGATAATTTTCTTACCATCGAAATCAACAGTACCGGAACCATCCGAATCAATTTCTTCAATCATCATGTCTAATTCTTCAGCGCTGATTTTGTCGTCTAATTCTCTTAAGATTTCTCTGAGAACACTTGTTGTGATGTAGCCGTTACCTGAAATAAATATAAAAAGGTTAAATTAAATTTACATCAAGTGATAATATATAGGTAGTTAAATATGTTAAAAGAACAACATAATGTTGCTAATAAGAAAATCTGTTGATTTTTACAAAAATGTTTGCTGGAGGATTACCATATGGATTTATTTAAAAAATCTAAGCCTAGCCCGTATTAATTTTTTTAAAATACTTGCAACACACTCACAGAGCCATGGTAGCTCAGGGGTTGAGCGTTCGCTGTAAATTTCACAGTACGCGAGCAACCCGGGCTAGATCCTCGCCAGCATCAATGTAATTGTTAATTGAAATTTTAAGAGCTGATATACCACGTGCTCGGCGGTGAAGGTAAATATCGTAAGGAAAACCGCATGTGTGAGAAATAAGAAATAAAGATTTCGGAAACATGTGAAGTTCACCTACATGCATTGGAACACCCCCTCAGAAATAAAAGGAGGCCTTCGTTCAGCTGTGGGGTATATATACTTGTTATCATATGTGTTAAAGTTTAAGTTTACAGGCTGTAACTTTAACTTTTTAACTTTAAACATGTGTAAAGGGAAACATCGCAAATCATTCTATATTTTGATCAAACCTAACCTAATACTTAACCTTATATTGGGATCCCATGTTAATTCAGGCCTTTCCAGAAATGACCTAAAAACCCCGAAAGCTCCTTTCTTGAACAATTTGTTCATTCTCACTAAATGGTGAGGTGGGTTAATGAGCGCAAATCACTTTGCACTGATAATACTGCTTTCAATTAATATTGAGCAGTTGGATTGTAGTTTTGAAGAGGTATCAAGATAAATTTTCCCTCACGCATATAGGCTGTAACTTTACATTAAACAAGGGTGAGAGTGGATGGAAGTTATTCCCTCGAAATCCATAATAATAGGATGCATACTATTTCCACTTCTCTTCAACATATTCTCTCAAAGAACATCTTTTAGTAGCTAATCAGCAGAAAACAGGGCTACGTTTAGATATCTACTCTTTTATACGGATATAAAGCTTCCTTTCTACTAAAGGATACTCGTAACTGTACACAATACAGACCAGTTTGAGAATTCGAATTCTTTGACATATGGTTAAAATGCCTTTGATATGCTTTATCTCTAACGTAAAAGAACAAATCACTGACATAATTTTATGAAAGGTTACCTTTTATGAACATATGTAATGTGAATCTTAATATAACTTTCCTAAATTAATTCTTAAAAGCAAAATCTTGGGTTAAAAAGGCCCTAGGTATCCGTGAGGTAAATGTTTGTATAACTACAGCAAGCTCAAAAACATAGCGTAAGGTCACAAAAAGTTTTGCCAACTGAACTCTAAACTTTTATAATAATGTCCTCCAGACCAAATTTCGGCCACGGTGGCCTGCCTCAACGGAGGCTAACCATCGGCGCAGGACGGGATTATAGTGCCCAAGTGTATGCGCAAGCACAGGTGCACTCTCTATTTTCTCACTCTCATAATCCGATGGGACGGTAAACCGACACGACGGGAGAGAGATCAGGCGCAGGAGCAACGGCTTTACGTGCTTTTCGAGGCACGGGGGCGAGACACCGTCAACTTCTTAACTTCGGGCAGCTACTGAGAATTTCTTGACAGAAAAACTCAATAATTGATTTTTTGGCCCGACCTGGGATTCAAACTCAGGACTTCATGATCAGCAGTCGAACTACTACAGCCACTAGACCAACGAGGCAGTCTTTTATATGTGGTAGGGCACGCTGGACATATTATGATTGTAACACGAATGGATCAGCTAGACCGGAAAAAGACCACGCTCTCACAGAATACCAGCGTAAATGGCAGTTCATACTGCTGTGTTTTGTACGGTGAGTTTAGAGAACCGGAGACTCTTTTTATTGGAAATGAGGCTTTCCATCTCAGTCTTCATCAAAGCATCTGCATATTTATTGTTAATCTAGGATAAATCTAAATTGTAGATATATGTAGATGTCTATGGGCCACAGCATCCACTTACCAGCAGATGGACTGTGTTCGTTTGTCATCTATATTCTATTTAAAAAAAACTTTTATGTGATGATGGCACCCGACGATGATGGAGTACAGTTGAGGTTGGCGCTTGGAGAAAATGGGGAAATATTCTAATTATAGCATTGCGGTGGTGGTGAAAGAGAATCTATTTATTTCGACACGCGGGTAGCGTAACAAGCAATGGTTGGAAATATACGGCTTATGATAATACAAACGCGTGACGGGGAAGAGCGTAAAAACGAGATAAGATTGTCGATCTGCCTATCAAGTGATTGAAAGTGATGAAAGATTGAGGCAAATCCTTCCTGCAATGGAAGCTGCTCATAACCAGCATTGGTACTCTTACGGGCTGATGATAAAGAATAATACAAATATTCTCCTCTTTATCCCTATATTTTATCCATGCCTTAACTAATATTTTAGCAACGCATAAAACAGATTTTTATTTTAACTGGGTTAGATTAATACCTTCTTTGTCATATAATCGGAATGCTTCTTTGAGTTCTTGTTGCATTGCTTCAGCGTCCTCCTCCACCATAAACCTTGACGCCAAGGTGACAAATTCTTCAAACTCTAATTCACCAGATCCTGAAAATTCAATGAGAAAATTTAATAACTTGTACAAATTAAGTTAAGTATAAAATGCAGATATGTGCTATTTATTATAATATAATCTGTATAAAAATTGTAAGTTAAATAATATAAACCTATTTAGGTATTGAAATATTTATATGCTTATTATGTGTTATTACTTATTACCTATTATTATAAGTAATTAACGTAAATTGTACATATCCTATGCCGTGTCGCTTAATAAAAATCAATTATTATTAATAAAATAGATTTACTTAACTAAATGTTTTAACATAAAATTTAAGATATTACAAATACTTGCTAGGCTAACATTTTATTATAAAAATATATTTTGTATATATTGTTGTCATATGAAATAAATTATAACGGCACTGACATCTTTCATCTTTAGAATTAATTGATATCATGCTCACACTAATATAAATTTGACCAGGATTATTAAGACAAAATTCCAGATCGATTGTAGAAGTAATCAAAATATAACCATATAAATGACTAATCAACATAAAATGAATTAAACAAATCTCTTCTTCTTAATTTACAATGTGTAGCGTTTTTTATACTGAAGTTCTGAATAAATGAAATTGAATTTAAACGCCTCACTTACTTCCTCACAAAATCAGAAGAGAATTGTTAAATCCAGAAAAAGGAGGCTAAGCAAATTACTTGTGTGTGGGGTGGAAAATTTTTCATATTGTGGAATTTTTTGTGTTCCATGTTTTTTGATAACTTAAGAAATCTCGAATTCTGATGAGTACTCTTTTGAATAAAGCATATTAATAAATTTAAAAAAAAAGGAATATATAGTCTTAAAATCTTCTTTTATAAGATAAGGGTGACAAATAGGCCGTCGAAGTGATGTTAAGTATTTGCTGCGGCCCATAGACATCGACTTCTATCTTCAACTACGAATCAAAATTCAGTTGCGTTGTCACCCGTAAGGAATAAGATGGAATGCCCCATTTCCAGTAAAAGGGGTAACCGGTTCTCTACACTCACCATACGAAACACAGTAGCGTTAAGCTGCTATTTTACGCTGAAATTCTGTGAGAGCGTGATCTTTCCCCGGTCGAGCCGACCCATTCCTGCTACAACGATATTACCAATATAGCTGCAGCATGGTTTTACCACGTACAAAAATCTGTCTAACAATAATACACACAAGAATGCGCTACGTTAAATAATATTACTTGTAAAATAAGAAGATTGTACCGAAAATCAATAAAACCATTATATAATTTCCATAAAACTAACCGTCAACGTCTACCTCAGTGATAATCTCCGCGAGGGACTCATCAGTGACTTGATGACCCAACATTCCAAGAATCGTGCCTACCATTACTGTGCCGATGCAACCTTTCTTTTCATGGTCAAAAGCTTCAAAAGCTTTTTTTAGAACTGAAAATAATTATATTATTATTTTTCAAGTGAATGTAGCATTAGCACACAATTTACTGTTACTGAGGTTTGACAGTGACATAAACGAACTGTTGGAATTCTATTTACTTACACACACACACACACACACACACACACACACACACACACACACACACACACACACACACACACACACACACACACACACACACACACACACCGAATATATATATATTTATATATTATTATATATATATATATATATATATATATATATTGTTTTTTATATATATATATACTATGTATTATAGCGTAAACTTTTAACTTTTACCATTTGTTGCGTTTTAATAAAACACTTTAATTTCTAAACTTAAACATAACATTTTGATAAATATATTGTATGTTTAATAGGTTAAAATAAAAAGTATGCATTTAATTGCTTAAGAATAAGTAATATATTTCAAATTATTAAAAAATTGGATACTTGCTGTTAATTTGTTCCTTGTCGAGATCCTCCTGAAAATCAGTTTCAAATGAACTTTTTGCTATTTATTAAAAAACAGTCAACGAAATTTAACACTTTTAATTATTGTTTATGAATCAATCAATCAAATAATCTAATTAAAGAAAACTATCTTACCATTATAACAAGTATTTGGGCTCAAAATATTGTTATTTAATTAATATATCTTGAAAAAAAGTTATTCCAATTCACTTTTAGTAGATGAAGCACCTCTTTTTCACTGAACGAACTGAACAACTAGCCGCAAGCGTTTGCAACTGACACAAAGGTTGGCTCGGATTCGCCCGGGGACAGATTTTTCCTACATTTCAAGCTACAACACAACTATCTTGGCGACAGTAACGCTTTTAACTTCTTTTATACGTCGGTTATTAATTATTAGAACATGGCCATCGAATGAGATTGATATGAACAAGCAGACCGCAACACTAATTCTTGTTTTATGTTTGCCGTCATTAATTTATTGCAAACAAATTAATTACTGCCTCAGCATTGGATGGATGCCATAGTTATTGTCTTGTAGCGAAAGCGCCTAATTGATTTGCGAATATGTTAGCGGACCGGAACTAATAGCGACGAGTATTTCTCTGCCTGAATTTTTTATATGTTTAAATTTCACAAACACTCTGAATTTGAGAAAATTGATAAGAAATAGATTTCCTACTGTTAGGAAACACATGTGGAGGTCATTTTCTTACAGAATAAGGGTGACAAATGAGCATACAGTCCACCTGATAGTAAGTGGATGCTGTGGCCCATAGACATCTACATTTATCCTTCATTAAGAATCAAAGCGATGTCACCGCTAAGGACTAAGATAGAGTGCCTCGTTTCCAGAAAAAAGGGTCTCCCGATCTCTACACCCACCATACGAAACACAGCAGTATTAAGCTGCTATTATACGCTGGTATTCTGTGAGAGCGTGGTTGCACTTTCTGTGAGAACATGGCGTCGAGCCGACCCATTCGTGCTACAACCATAACATTTACTCTTTTACTCCTTATACATGATTTAACCCGTTTCTCAGGTTCCGATAGTCACTCAAGCCGAGGCTTGTACCTCATTTAGAGGTACTCTCCTCTAGCTATCGGAGTCGCACTCCAATAACAAAGGCAGGTGAACTTCGGAACTATAGGTGGCGACGAACTTAATAACTCGAAAATAATCGCTTGTGAGTTTCTTATGGTGAAGTTGTAAAAACCATATGGACAATAATTTAATAAATAATAAAATAAAAACAATTTTATATACGTGGTAGAGCCATGCTGCAGTTATATTAGTAGTATAGTTGTAGCACGAATGGGTCGGCTCGACCGGGGGGACCACGCTCTCACAGAATACCAGCGTGAAATAGTAGCTTAATGCTGCTGTATTTCGTATGGTGAGTGTAGAGAACCGGAGACCCTTTTTTACTGGAAACGAGACATTCCATCTCAGTCCTCACGGGTGACAACGCATCTGCATTTTGATTTTTAATGGAGGATAGATGTAGATGTCTATGGGCCGCAGCAACCACTTAGCATCAGGTGGACTGTGTGCTCGTTTGTCACCCTATTCTATAAAAAAAAAACATCACACACTTTCAAAAAAAAGTCATACTAAACTTTTAAACAGCAGTGTATTTTGTATGATTCCTAGAGTGTATAGTCATGTATAGTCATGTATAGTCTCTGCTTGAAATTTCAAATAATAATTTATTAAAAAAAAAAAGTGAAGACACTACTTTTAGAAAAATCATATTATTCGGTAAGGGAATTTCTTGAAGACAATTTATTAGATGTAGTATTGTAACCGGCTTAGTGGTACTGTGACATTAATTAGACATTTTATGTGACATTTATTTTACAAAGTTGACATTGTGTATTAATTAGGTAATCGCATTTGACATTATTTTAATAATTATTTAGACACTGTAATTTAATGTGTAATAATTTTAATTTAAACTATAACATATCATTAAGAATTTTTGCATGGCATGAGCCTAAATATGGCGATAAACAATGTAAATTGACCACTGTATGTACCCATATTGCGCAAATAAAGAATGAAATGAAAAAAAAAATAAAAAAAACATTCTTTATTAGCTAGTGATAGCTGTTGAGAATGTCTTGCTTTGCGGTCTCTACTCTCTAATAAAAGTTCGATAGCCACGCAGTCCATTTGTTTTTTTTTTTTCAAAATATTAAAGTACTTAATTATATACATTTATTTGATAAGTTTCTTACAATATATTTACGACAAGCACTAAGCCCTTGAGATACCACAGCAACCTGGGTTTGATCCCCGTTGATACCTATCAAAAAAAAGTTGAGTTGCAATTTTAATTGCTGATTTACCACGTGCTCGGCGTTGAAGGAAAACATTACAAGAAAACCTGCATGTCTGACAAGTTAAGTAAGTATTATTTCGAAGCGTGGTAAAAAATTCCTTGACCTAAAACCCTCTCAGCAGTGAGGAGAAGTGTGTATCCAGGAGTGAGACGTATGGTCTTAACTTTACTTCTTTATATTACATTGTCACCGACGCTGGCGTTTTATTGCACACACGTCTACGAGTACAGTGAAGCGCGCAACGAAAACTACCGACGAACAAAAAACGCAAAATATTAACGAAGTATCCAAATTGGTACAGCTTCACTAAATGGGGATGACGATAGCGAACATTAATAGAATTTTGAATAAGTCAGACGTTTGTCGTTCATTGTTACATTTTTTTTTATAAATGAGAAAAGTTTTAAGTCAAATTAATGGTCCCAATTAATATTCGACGATACTGTGTCTTGAGAGTGGTTTAAATTACTTTGCTCTAATCGAAAGACTTAAAGGATTCTTTAGGTCGTAAAGTCACGTATTGTAGGATAATTAAAATTCTATGTAGCTATTGCAAGTTGTTGAACAGAAAACTTCTTTAGAATTCTTGTGATTATAAGTAATACCTTATGAAACAAAAAAGCTAAACTAAAAAAAGAACTATAAGAGAATAGAATACAGTATGCAGACAGTGTTTTATATAAATTAGAGCGGTAGATCGGTAGATCCACGCTGCTGCTATATTATGGTTGTAGCACGAATGAATCGGCTCGACCGGGGCAGGACCACGCTCACACAGAATACCAGCGTAAAATAGCACCGTAATGTTGCTGTGTTTCGTGAGTGTAGTGTAGAGATCCGAACCCTTTATTACTGGAAACGAGGCATTCCATCTTAGTCCTCAGGGGGGACAACATATCCGTGTTTTGATTGTTAATCAAGGATAAATGTAGATGTCTATGGACCAGAGCATCCACTTACCGTCAGGGGGATTGTGTGCTCGTTTGTCACCCTTATTCTATAAAAAAATATTTACACTTTAATTACGTAAATCCTACAATAATTATCCTACTTTTGAAACTCTGCCTTTGTATTATTATCTCGAAGTTTAGTTTTCTGAACGTAGAAATAAACGTAGAAGGAAGATTTACAAGTGAATCCTACCGCGTGTGAACTGCACACATGTTTTTTATTTTATTTATGTGGCTCATTAATGTAACCTGACTACAATGTGCTATTTAATGTGTGTAGCCACCTACCATCTTAATCCCATTTCAAAATGCTGGACGGAAATTTCACAGACTATTATCGAAAAGTTTTTTACACAAATCCTTCCGCTTAGTTGTGATAAGTTCGTATAAATCTACCAAGTAAGTCATGTCTCAGCGTGCGGACCCCCTCCCACTTAGAAGTGAACTTAAATTAGTTTGTTTTCAACGATGTTTGCGAGCACCTGTCTTCCAACCCGATAACAATGGGCTTCAAGGCAGAGAAATGAGCTTTTGTAAAGCTGCGCTTTACTATCTTCACTGTTCAACACACACTTAAGGTGGGATAGAATGAAAACCTTTACCATAAAAAATTAAGAGTAAATTACACATATATATATATATATATATATATATATATATATATATATATATATATTATTTTCAATAGAAAAAATAATAATGATTTCTTATATTTACACAACCACTACACATTGATTAAAACTACTTTTAAGGATTTTATCGCGTATAAGAAGATAACATAATATTCAAAATATTACATAAACCACTTGATTGATTTTCCTGCTGGCATACATTATCTTTTAAATAAATAATGTAGGTTACGTCTTCTTTTCGGAAGTAGATTTCTTTTATAGCTTTTTCAAGAATTAATAGCAATCTCCGCAAGCAATAGTAAAATAATCAACGAGACTGAACGTTGCCAGATAAGTTTCAAGTGACGTTTCTTTGAAATATTATAACTTTTCTCATTTAGACCAACATTGCTACTTTTAAACACGATTCTATATGTGTATTGAATGTTATTAATTCTTTAAAAAATGAATGAAATAGTATAATAATACCAAGTATTTGAAATTAATTTCGCAATAGTTACAGTAGGGGAGAAATGTAATTATAGTTTATCGTCTGAGGAGGTTATTAAACATCACAAGAGCGAAGGTGCGGACTAACAAAATTTTTTTTTAAATAGGATTAGGGTGACAAACGAGCGTACAGTCCACCTGATGGTAAGTGGTTACTGTCGTCCATAGACACCTACATCTATCCTCGATTATGAATCAAAATGTAGATGCGTTGTCACCCGAGAGGACTTGGATGGGACTCCTCTTTTCCAGTAAAACGGGTCTCCGGTTCTCTACACTCACCATAGGAAACACATCAGCGTTTAGCTGCTATTTTACGCTGGTATTCTGTGAGAGCTTGGTTCTACCCCGGTCGAGCCGACCCATTCGTGCTACAACTATACTACTAATATAGCTGCAACATAGCTCTACTACGTAAAAGATATACCTAAGAAAACTAATAATCGAAATTAATCTGAAGTATTATTTTAATATAATAAAGCGAAAGAGTTTTTTTTGTTTTCTTTTGTTTATTTAAGGACGCTAAGCTATGGAACTACCAGTCCGATTTAAAAAAATCTTCTTGTATTATATAGCCACATTTATGAGGAATAGTATAGACTATCTAGTATTAGGCTTCACATCTCAGCTAGCCTTAAATATTGATTTTTGTTAAGCAACTCTGAAGAAACCGCGCCCCAGAAATGATTTATCCGCATGCATCGGCATAATGGCTGTTG